GCCTTATTAAAGCATAATTAACGCTTAATGCATCTCTAAATTTGAAACTAATTTGATTTCTTTTGCGTTCGCTCTCGTTCATATAATGCACAATTTTCCGAATCATATTTCCGGGAAAAGAATTATAAAAGCGCATCTATATGCAATTCCATCTATAGCACGAGTAAATTCATGCTATGCCGACCGTACGTCCCGTATAAAAAATGTATCAATCCCCTTTGAAAGTGAGACACGTGCTCGAGAACACGCACACATACACACATACGCATAGCTATGGTATCGCTTGAAACTTAAATGTTATAAGAAAGAGTTTAATGCACGACTTAAAGGCTATTCTCGGGAAGCGTAAATTCAACTTTGTCTTTGCGTGCCTTTTTAAGTGGGAGGCGGCATAAACGAGTTTTTCCAATAAACGTGGGCGTCGCGACGCGTCGGAAAATATGACTGTCTCTATTTTCTTTAGCACAGGCCTTTTTTCGTCGTAAAAGTTCTTAATCTTTTTTTTAGCAAGAGAATATCGGATTACATTGTTATTTATTATTATATTTTATATATTATATATTATTATATATTATATATAATATATTTATAAAATTTAAGATTAAAAATAGATTTTTTTAAGTAAAATTTTTCTCAAATTAAGCTTAAAACAGAGCGAGAGAGAGAGAGAGAGAGAAAGACAATTTTATTTTTCATTCAACATCAAAAAATTTTGCTTCATTCGCGTTCTCCTTCTGGTGTTATCTTCTGTCACGTTTCTCCTTCCTCTTTCTCTCTTTTATTTTTAATTTTAATTGTCGCGGAATGTCACAATTACGGTATACCGCGTGTAACTTTGATATACCGTTGCACTATTACGCTTTGTGCGCGAGAACTGCTTTAGAGAAGCAACATAACGTGTCCCAGATGATTGAAGGGTGATTAGACACCCAATTATATACAACGGCTTCATCGTGATAACTCTCGTTCGAACGCTTTTGTTATGTCAGAACGCTTTCGATGTTAGGCGGCGCGTTTTTGGCCGCGTCAGGAAGTATTATGAGCGCGCTCGAGTGAATAAACGCATTGGTAACACAGTCACGTTTCGTCCCCTGCAAAGCTGCTCGAAAGTTTGCACGAGGTACTTAGATATTCAGTTTTGCTCGCGTATCACGTCGAAAGAAAATTTTTAGTTAGTAAATTATAATCACGCGTTCGTAATAGATCACACGCGTCGCGAAAATTGTTTAACGAAGATATCGCGCGCGCGATTGCGAAGATACATTTTAATTGGTGAAAATTGCGGTTCGCGTGAAAAATGTAGATGCGCGGAAAATTGGTAGGAGGTATAACAGGGGATCTAGCGGTCGGCATTGTCAGGGGACTTTATAAATCTGGAATTGTCAGGGAAAAGTCAGGAAATTTTACTATTTGGATTTTTTCACATTATTCTACATTTGTCTCAATAATTTGAAATTTTTTATTAAATAAATATAAACTTTTTCTTGACTCCCAGCACGCTAATTTTCTATGTTGTTAAAAATTGATTCATCTACAGCGTATTTGTTAAGTTATATATTTTCATCGTTGTGTTATTTTATTTCAATATGTTTGATAGAGACAAAACTAAAAAATTTGATATAATATAAATAAAAAAGGTGATTATTTAAATAGTTTATAGTGACAAGTTTGTTTCGATTATTGTACATAATGCAGATTGTATAATTGATTTAAATTTTTGTTTTTTTAACTTCCGAATCTTTTCGTTGTTGACAAAAATATCTCAAGAATTTCATTATTTAACATTTAATTGATTTATCATATAGATATATGCAAATTAAATATTTGAAAAAAATAATGCTAAAATAAAGTCAGGGAAAAATTTAATTCCTGGTCTTGGAAAATGTAAAAAAATCAGGGAATTTTTTTCTCTGAGTCTGCTGGACATCCTGCATAAAGAACTGCGAAAAATTAGCGCCGGCGAAATATCTTTCCCACTAAGAAATTAAATAGAAACTGCTCCCATCGGAAATTACTTTTGTTGCTGGAGCAGAGGCTATTACGTGCAATTTTGCGATATTAAATTTTTTCACGGATCGTAACGAGGTGTGCGTTTTTATTTAATCGCGCGCGAGCGCTTTTATATGCAAGAATCGACAATTGCGTGTCCGATCATTAGGAGAGCTCGAAGGATCGCACAATAACACTGCAATGCGACAAATGAGTATGACTGGGATATAAATCGCGGAGTTGTATTATTTCGTGTGTTCCGTTATCGAACCGTCTCCTTATATTTAACTGCCATCGACTGGATTTTGCCCAGATGCATGACCGTCGACGTGCTCGCATAAACAGCCGTGCACCATTAAGGCCGCGGCATTAAACTTGCATCAGATGGGAGCAGGTATCTCGCGTATCGCCCTTTCGAAATCGATATCATCGTCGTATATGGACCCGTCAATGTTATACACACATCCTTGCTATCGTGTAACTATTCGGCGAACACGATGGCACTATTTCATTAATTAACTAATACACATGTACGCAATCAATTAGTATTGCGAGTGATATATCTGCCCGTCGTTCATGTAAATCGATTTGTCTCTTGACAATTACATTGTCTGTTACATACGCTTTCTGTGCGCTGATGTTTCGTATACCTATAGAATTTCGAATTCGTAAGACTTCGCGGCACTTGTCGGAAGCAAGGAAAATTGAGGGAAGAAAAGGAACGAACACGAGGCGATAATATCTCTCGAATGCGAGAGGATCGAGAAGGCAACGTTTCAAAGACGCTTTATTTTCTTTTTTCTTTTTTTTTTTTTTTTTTTTTTTTTCTACGCGAGCTATTGCTATTCGATCTTCAAGGAATGGTCGTGAGTCTTGCTCGTAAAAAGCATTTGAACTTGGCGAATTCGCTTTTTCATGTTGCAGTAACATTTTCGAGATACATTTTATTCCGAAGAACAAGAATTGAAGGAAAAATTTTTGAAAATACGAACAGCAAACTTCTCTCCTCCTTTTTTCTTTTTTTAGTTCTTTGCCAAATGCTGACAGTCACTGTCTCATCACTCATCACATGTCGAAAAGCACACGAGCATATTAGCTCTTTAACTATATAAGCGCGCTTTCGTCTAATTTCTCTCAGAATCGATAAATTCGCGACATTCTATGAACAGCATCGCCGGTTATAGACGAGTAAAAACGAAGCTAATTTTATATATTATATATAGAACACACATATAATCAGTTTTATTTCTATTAATATAAATAAATACGTTTATTTACTAGTTGTATATATAAAATCGTACATATGCACAAAATATCTTGAATCATTCTTGAAGCATTTAAATATAGTGACAAAAATTTTTGAAAAATATTACTATTTTCATTCAACATATTGATTTCTCGATATTTATGGTATTTTTATAATTATTCTTGGCTGGAAAAATAATAATCGCATAAAGCGTAAAATAAAATTAAAAAATATATGTATAAATAGGAGGAACTCTATATAAATCTCGATTTATTCTTCGTTCATATTTCCTGTCACATTTTGGTCATACTTTATGTAGGCCGTATTTCTCGAGTTTATCTCTCGTTACACGTTACAAAGTGATTGCCACGATTGATTAATTACCGGTCTTACGCGGAAACAGGGCAAAATGACCAAAAGCAAAAACTTGTTTTGTGCGGTAATCTAGCGGAAAGAGAATAAAGAAGGGAGGAAGAAGAGGGAGAAGAAAATAATATATTATTCGATTTTTGTCATTAATTGCATCAACCACTTCATTCCAAATTCTTCTATTTCAAGGTCACCCAGTTTAGCCATTTTAACGACTTATTGTTCTATAGCAAATACATAATTTATCGTTCAATAAAATTGCACTTTAGAAGTGTAAAATGTTCCACATTACACAAGCAATAATTCAGTTTCTTCGAATCTCCATCAACATCCTACAAATGCGGGGTAATCTTCCGATCAGGAAAAGATCGACCCTCCACTAATCGCGCCTTCATCTATCATTATTGCCATTATACATACATATACGATCCCGATTCGCCGGGGAATTAATCCCAAAATCTTCAAGGCGCGATTTCGTCGTATATGTAGGTTCTAGTCTTTCTTCTCATTATTTTTATCTTTTCTTCGGCGAAGGAAAGCATAGGGTGTCCAGCAGACTCAATGAAAAAAATTCCCTGATTTTTTCAGATTTTCCAAGACCAGAAATTAATTTTTTCCCTGATTTTTTAGTATTATTTTTTCCAAATATATAATTTGCATATATCTATATGATAAATCAATTAAATGTTAAATCATGAAATTCTCGAGATATTTTTGTCAACAATGAAAAACTTCAGAAATTAAAACAAAAACTTAAATCAATTATACAACCTGCATTATGTACGATAATCGAAACAAACATGTCAACAACAAAATTTTATTTAAATAACATCACCTTTATTTTATTTATATTACATCAAATTTTTTTATCTCTTGTCTAGTCAAAAAGAAGTTTATATTTATTTAATAAAAAATATCAAATTATCGAGACGAATGTGGAATAACATGAAAAAAATCCAGATAAATAGTAAAATTCCCTGACAATGCCCAGATTTCCCTGACCGCCAGACACCCTGGGAAGGAAATCCAGCCTCCGTACGGTAATTCCCCGCGAACTGTTGATCGTTACGTCATTTCCGGCATACGTCCGGGTCGCCGGTTCCTCCGCGCATCTCTTTCCCCCCTCGCATCCCATGATATCCGCGCGAACAGACTCCAGAAGTGTGTTCTCACGTCGTCGTCGTCGTCGTCGTCCTCGTCGTCGTCCCTGACGGTCTATAGACCGGCGGCACGATGACGGCGGTAGGCCCGGCTGCGCGGACGACCAAGCGCGCCGCGCGAGGCTTTTAGTGGGGGTGCCGGTGCGTCGCGACGGAAAAGGGAGGCTGGCGGGGGGTCGGGGGGGGGGAGGGTTCACCGCCGACGCAGGGGGCCGCAGCGCCGCGAGAGAGTTCGCCCGTCAGAGAGCCGGCAGCCCGCAACGCGAGTGTTGCTGCCGAGCTTTGATAAGGTCGAGAGGGACCGCACAATATATAAGCGCTTGTGAGAGAACTGTCAACGTCGCTCGTCGCCGTCATCGTCGTCGGGGTTGTCGTCGACGTTTCTAGACAGCAGAGAAGAAGAGAGTCCATCGCGAGGAGAGGAGAGAAGAATTTTCGCGACGTCGACGGAGAGGCTTCCCCACGTCGGGCAAATCGGAGTCGCGTATAGAGGAAGACCATCCGTCGATCGCCGGTCTTCACATAGTTCTCTCTCTCTCTCTCCTCTCTCTCTCTCTCACTCTCTCTCTCTCTCTCTTCCTCTCACGCTCGGAATCCATCGTCTTCGGAGACGATCAGCATCGACGGTCCTCGGTATATACACGTACACATTCTCACCCTCTTGTCTTCTCTATTTCCCTTCCCCATTCGCTATTACATATCTTCTCGATACTTTAAGCTCAATCGGCGAATCTCGCACAGTACTTTTCGCGGCGCGCAAAGGGAAAACGAAAGGCGGGGCCCTGGCCGGGTCTCGAGAGAGAGAGAGGACGAAGGGATAAAGGACAGCTCGGTGACGTGCCGTTTCCGCAACCTATCATCCCTTCGAAGGCTCATCCCCGGCCATTCCGTTCTTTCACGTCATCGCAGCAGCAGCAGCAGCGGCTCTTCGGGATACCTGGAAACCGATTGCTCGAGACTTCCCGGCACTCGGAATATATTGCTGGAGGGCGTAACGAGTAATTAGGTGAGTTATAAGTGGGAAACTTGGTCGATCGAAATTTCCTTTAGGTGTCGGCGACCGCTCGTTGTCGTCTAACCGGGTCACCGGGATGGGAAGCGTGCAAATCGAAATGACGAAATTCGCGCCGACGATTTATTCTCGCCTGCGAGATATGTATCACGTATATGGATTTTATCGCCCGCTACCGTCATCGTCGGACGATCCGCGAGAGGGGGCGACTTGTTACCAAGGGGTTGCACTGCAGTGTCGCGGTTACGTGGTGGGGCGGTCTCTCGTCATTCAAGTTTCACCGATCTCGATCGAAAAAAAAAGAAAAAGAAATCTGAAAAGAAATCAATGCGAGAGGGAGAGAGTGGTATCGCCTGTTTCATCCCTGTCCGTCTGACCGGACGCCGACAATTATCCCTTCGTGGCGCACGGAACGTAAAGTTGATCACAATTCGGTCAGCGGGAACGTGTTCGACCGTCGTCTCCCCTCGTCGTCTCCACAGCCAGAATTTGGATCAATGATCTAAGACTAGACCACGGCACGGGGGGTAACCCGTCTCTCGTGCCCGTCCTGCGCATTGCACCCCGGATGTGATATAGCGCCGCGTTTCGTGTCGAATATCCTGCGCAACGCGTCCGGCCCCGGCGACGTGCGTGCGGAACCAGAACGAGAATTGAGCGAGGATCGCCTCAGCTCCGATATTCGCGATCCGCGATTTCGACGATTTCATCTCCCTCTCGAACTTTCCTTTCGCTGAGCTGACTGAAGCTCCCGCGAGATTCCCGGGGGAGCTGATTTCCCTTTCGTCGGAAAGTTCGGGCTCTCGAAGGTTTCCACGGGAATATCGATATACACCGATGTTCGACTTAGCTCGTGGGGAGATTATCAGCACTATTATCTGTTGGCTCTTCGCCTTCTTAGACTTGAATCTTTGAAAAGTTATTTAAAATTTTCCCAGAATTATTCTGTAGGTAAATTTCCAATTTTAAATCAAATTGAACGACCGACTGACGGCATACATTTCCCATCTAATTTCCGTAAAAATTTTCAAATTTAAGTAGATCTAGATTCCCCATTGAAATTCTTCCGAAAATGTAGTTACAAAGGAAAGAGACCCCGAAAAATATATTTGAATAAAAATTATCTAAAAATTATTCCCATATAGATATTTCGTAATTTTATTTGAAATTTCTATGGGATAAAATTCTGGGAATTTTGATTGAAATTACGAAACATTTATAGGAACTTTTAGATAATTTTTTATTTAAATACATTTTTCGGAGTATATTTTTCAACTGTTTGTAATTCAATTTTCGTAAGAATTTTAATGGGAATCTAGGTCTACTTAAATTTGGAAATTTAATTTTATAATTCAATTAAATTAAAAAAAATGTTAATTTATTTAATTTGAAAAAAAATTTTTTAATTTTATTTAAAATTTCTATGGGAATTATCTATGGGATAATTCTGAGAATTTTTAATAAAATTACTAAAGTATTTAAGAATTTTTTGATAATTTTTTCTCATAGATAATTCCTATATGAATTTTTCAGAATCGAAGAACGGAATTGATATATTCTCTTTGTACAATTGCGAATAAAATACACGGTTAAAATTGTTCGATTGCTAAATAATTCTTCAACTTTCCCGAAGAATTACACGTTAATAATTATACACGTTAAATTGTTCTTCTCGCTGAGACTTTTTTAACGCCGGCGCGAACAATTGATCGCTCCGTCGTAAAGTTCGCCGGTACGTACGGTCGTCGGCCATAAAGCGAGCATTAGGAGGATAATATCGTCTTCATGGGGAAGAGATTACGGTTCGCGACCGCGTGAGACTTAAAAGAAGAAGAGCCAACGAAAGGCGAAAGCGGTGCTTTGTGCATCGCTCTACAACCCCTCGCGATGTCAGATCTCCACTTCTATTTCGGCCCCGAGGTCCGTTTCATCTCCCATCTCGTACGCGATGCAGATGGAGCGTCCGTATGCGAGATACATAGAATGGTATAATGGCGCGGCAGACCGACGTAGATTTAACGAATAATTCTCGAATGATAGCCCGGAAAAATTTTTTATATATAACAATATAAAATTATATAGAAGTATAAAACATTATACTTATAATCGCAACATTATATATGAAATATGTCCATACACATAATTAGATAAAAGTGCTTTTTATATATAATTATATAAATTATATATATATATATATATATATATATATATATAAAGTATTTCTTCATATATATAAATATACCTAATTTCACATACTTAATTTAACAGGATTATATATGAACTTTTATAATTTATATAATTATGTATAAAAATAAACATATTTCACATATAATTTTACAAGTATATGTATAATTATATATAAAAAATTGTTCCCGGGAGTTGAACATAAATCTACTGGATGCCGGCTGAAACTTTCATTCTCTTCTCTCGCGGCGCGTCAAACGCGTTAATTGCAATTAATAGCATATGTAACGAAGAGAGAGAAAAAGAGCAATAGTAGTAAAATGTTAAGTCGCTGCCACGCGTTTCTCAGCAAAAAATTTTAATGCATTTTTTCGAAAATGTTAAAAAGTTCCTTTTTCAAATTTTATACATCTTTTTTAGCGATGTAATTTTCGTGGTAATTTTTGTGTTTTAAAAACTAATATACCACTAATTGAGGCGTTAAACGTTGTAAAAAGAGAATTAAATATAGCAGCGCTTGTGCGAAAAGTTGATTACAGTTAAATGAAAAAGTAGAAACAGATAGATTAGCAGCCACTTAACATGCCATTAATTAATAATCAGCATTCAATTATAAGACAGTTTTGCATCTTCATATACGCGCGTATTTTTTACGTTTGTAAATGCATAATTACAACTCTAAATAGATCTGAATATTTCATCTGATTTATCTGATTTAAGAATAAATTATCATAAGATTAATCATTTAGACAGGAGAAATCATTATTAATGTTTACCAGATCAGATATGTTTGCCAATAAAAATAACAAAATAGTGTTAATTACTGGTTAAGAGATTTTATTACGAGAGAAAACAAATTCATATACATAAGAATTTATTATACATTTATTTCTTTTTGTAAACTTTATTATACGTGTGTTTTCCTTTGAAGAAGATAAATCTTTTTCTAATACATTGAGATTTCTACGCTGAAAAAATTTATTGAACTCGAAAAATATTTATTTCAATACTGCTTAGTAAATCATTTATTTGAAACTATATAATAATATTGATTTGAAGAATATTTATTTGATATAAGAAAATCCTTTCAACAGATTTGATTTGTTTCAAATGAATAATTTATTAGGCAGTATTCAAATAAATATTGATTAAGGTAATAATTTTGTATTAATATATATTTAATATATTTGATTTTTTTTAACATTAATTTAAATTCCATAATCTCTATTATAATAATGTAGCAATGAGTACCACGGACCCTGCCGGGGAGGGTGGAGGAGGAGAGGAAAGCGCCACGTCGACGAATGTCGAACAGAATGCATCTCCGAGTACACCGAATACCGGAACCGCGGTACCAGCGACCGCTCAACAGCAACAGCAACAACAGCAGCAACATCCGCCGCCGTCGCCCCTAAGTGGCTGCTACCTTCTCGTCGTGCTTCCTGAGCCTCATACTGCACAACACAAGGACCTCATCTTGAACCGCCTCGCGAAAGGTGAGTCGTCATTTTTGCAAATCGCCGATTAATTATTGTCACGATTGTGTCTCATCAAGGACGCTCGGAAACGGTCATTTATCGCTACTATTATATCATGAGATTATGTACTATTACGTACGATTAATGAAGAAACAGTTTTTTGTGCACGAGATACGTGACTTTTTTTCGAGCAGAATCGGCGACGCTTCTTCAACATATATACGTAATTATTTTAACAGCACGGATTTCACGTATGCGTACGATTACGTCTGATATTTATACAACTATTTAGCGTATTTGTATGAGAGAGTATCGAACACGATCTTATATACAGGTCAGGACATTCATTAAAATGAAGTGTATAAAAAATTAATCAATATGGCGGCCGACTCTCAGACCTGTCGTATAATATAATATATTTATTATAATATATTTTACTACTTTTAAATAATTTAATAAAAACTATACTTAATATTTAATATTTATAATTTCCGACGGTTTTTTAACATTTTTTTTCAATTGTGCATAAGGCTCTAACACAAAACTGTCAAAATGAAAAAATCTGCGCTGACGCACATTGAACAAATCGGCCTGAGTTGGCAGCCATATTAGTTAGATTTTCTTACGCTTGACAGCACGTAGTCGACATAGAAGTGTCCTTATCTGTATATAAGATCGTGGTATCGAACATGACAGCACGATTGGCATGCAGCTTGAATAAGAGTGCACTTGTAAAACAACTTATTTGCATTTCGGTCAGATTTTCCCTTCGTCGTGGGATTAACTAAGATTGCGCGTATCCGTCGTCGTTGCACATACACTTCCTGGACGTCAGTCTAACGGTGCCCATCCTCCTTCGCTTATATTTCCCTTCCTTGAATTATCGGACAGACCGAAGTCGATGGTTGCTAGGCGGACCGTAAAGCGAACTGTTTCTCTTTCTCGCGCGCCTCGCCTCTTTCTCCTTTATTTTTAATCTGCATACAGACGCACGATATCGTGCCACCACTAATTTCTCTGTGTTGATTCATTTATATTTATGTTTGCTCCGTGAGCGTGTCGGTGAAGCGAGCAAAGCGAACGACACGCTTTTTAATCGCGCGTTCGCAAGCTAATACTAACACTCATTGTCCTAATAATATGGAAAACAACTTTGCGAATTAATATAATCGTAAGAAGATTGCAGTATCAATTATAATTAAAGTTTTTTAATAAAAATAAATTTTCTGATTATTTTTAAATATATATAATATTTTTGAAAATTTTAAATAAAATATTCTTTCCAAATGTGCATCATTCTCGACGATTTCTTATAACATTTCATTGCTATTGTCATTACTGTCACGAAATTATTATTGTTCACAATCGTTATATGCGAATATACGCTTGGCATTCATAATAAGGCACGTCCAAACGTGGTGCACATATTTAATTAGACATAAAAAATCGATGAAAAGAAATACATCTTTACGCATCTATTTTTACAGCAGTACAGGGTGTCTAAAAATTTCAGTGATAGAAGAAAATATCGCAAAACGTCTACGTGATTAAAGAATCTGTAAAAATTAACATTCTCGGAGCAGGCGTATAAATTCGGCGCATTTTTTTCTTAACGCGCTGGCGCAATGTGTCCTTGCAGCCAGCAGGACAGCGAAATTCTCTAATGCGTTACTTTATCGTGTAGACATATATTAAAATTAATACATGCGGCATTTTTTAAAGAGAGGAAGGAAAGAAGAGGGGAGAGTCGACACGAGGAGCCCGTATCGTACGTGATTTCCGCATTGCGCCAACAATGATTTTTAACGGCGCGCTCGTCGGCGCCTCGTTTAGCGTTTATCCGTCGGTTTTTCAATCCTTTCCGCGTGCGCAAATTGTATAGCCCGCGCAGCATTTGCATTTGCAACGATGATCTTGCAAAATGCCATTTGATAAGGCGGCTATGCCGCTATATGGCTATGCCACTTGGACTAATGGCAGATCGCATTTATCGAACGTATGTGTAGTTTTTGAACCTACGCGATTAAATATATTATCTACATATTTTAATTATTATAATTAAATAAAACAGCGAATAACGTATTTTAATTAAAGTACTATTTCATCGTCGTTCTACGAAAATACGTAATAAATGTAGAGAAACTGAATGGTTTTTTTAAAGATTATTTTCTCAAAGATTTTAGGCTTATATTCAATTTATTTTAAATTATTCAGTCATTATTCTTTACGATACAATAATCATATTATTATTATTATTATTTTTGTCTTAAGTCTAGAAAGAAAAATGAAGAAATTTGAAAAATCTCGTTTGAAGCTGACACAAAGATATTCAGAACCGACATCGGGATTTGTCTCTTTAGGTTTAAGCTCGCGGGAAAATAGCCGCGCAAAAACGCCTTCGAAGCTCCGACGTTTGCTCTTTTCATCGTCGAGAGAAGAGCGTTTCGTTGCTTCTTCCCTCTTCGCGGACCTCCGCGTGGACTTCCTCTCTTCTTTCGTGTAAATTTAGCGGTAGATTTCGAGTCTACGAGAGACATTTGCTGCGCCATTTATTGCGCGTGTGCGGCCTCGTCGAGTTCTTAAATATACACCGAAAAAAACGCGCGATTTCGCGGATTCTCCGGTTCGAGCTCGTCGAATCCTTGTCACGAGCAAGTACGCTCGTTTTCTTCCTCCATCTTACAGTCTATAGCAGTTTTCTTGCTTCTTAACGAGATTCTAAGTAGACGTACAAAGAGCTTTAGGATAAGCGCAAGGACGAATACAAATTGAAAGACGACAACAATTTGCAATAAATTTAGCAAACATCAATTCTCGTTTAAATAGCAAATTTGAAAAGAACGAATTTTAATGCGAATGTATTAGCGTTTTCTAGGTCAAAAACTTGAGTAGAACAAGGCTCTTACAATCGCTTACGGTGTCTTCGCGAGTCGCTCCATTTCTTCGTACAAAGCTCGAGAAGTCCTTAAGGATCCTCGTTTTTGACAAAGAAGAAATTTTGTACGCCCAAGCAAGCCTTCGATCTTTCAAAGGCAAATTGCGAATCGTTTTTGTGCTCGCTTACGAAGTTACCGGAATCGTAGAATATATATCATGGGATATACGTATGATATATATAGCACGGTATTAAATTGGAAAGAAAAGCATAGCTTTCTGAAAGCGATATTTTCCGGTGATTTTTTTTCGGCGCATAATCCCGATTGCGCCACAAGCGTCGCGATAATCTTTTTTTTTTTTTTTTTAAATTTTTTCCCCTTTTCGTTTCCCCACGTACATTTCGTGCAAGGTGTACTTTGCAACCAAGTCCACGTGCGGTGTATGCGGAAATGATGATAGCAATTTATTTTCGACACACACGGCTCGCGTGCGGCTCCTTCCGAAAGGACCTTATTTTCGCCGGTCCGATAATTCAGGCGCACAAAGGGTTTTCGTATGAATAATTAAAAAGCAGTTACGTATTCCGCTAAATAAATTCTTGCTATAAATTTCGCCGGAACATTTCTCTTTATATTATATATATATATATATTTTATCCTTTGTTAATTAAATTTTACTGAATCTTCCAGGTCGATATCGAAAATTAGATGTTTACGCCGTAAACTCCATCCACGTTACGTGCACTTTATTGATATCTTTACATGTTACGTTCGTTCTATTTATACTTGGTAAATAGCTACGTTTACGTAGGGTTATTTATCGGAAACGCATACATTCTGACAAGTCTATCTATAACGATTTTATTGCACGTTGTTATGATTTAATATGCCGTCGATCAAGATTTAGCGCAAGTTAAATCTCTTGGGATAATCAATTTTCTTAACAGTCGTTCAAAACAGCTGTTTCAACAGTTAATAAAATAGAGTTCAGTATTTATTTAAATTGACATTTCTCCGCGGGAAACAATTTTTTGTATATAACAATATAAAATTATATAGAAATATATAAAATTATACGTATAATCGCAAAATTATATATAAAATATGTCCATACATAATTAGATAAAAGTGCTTTTTATATATAATTATATAAATTTATATATATATATAATAAATATTTCTTTATATATATAAATATGTTTCATATATAATTTGACATGACTATATATAAACCCTTTTAATTTCTATATAAATTTATATAATTATATATAAAAATGGACATATAATTTTACAATTATATGTATAATTATACAATTATTTATATATAATTATATATAAAAAATTTTTCCCGAGTCTCTTTCGCTGTGACAAAGTTAGCGAATTTTGCGTTGGATACACAGCTACACTAGGTAATAAATCTTGAAAAAAACTTTCATGACTTTTAATCGAGTCTGACATGATTTTCTACATGCCGCACACGTGGACACCAAGTACGACACGTGTACACGTGGTTCACGGATTCTTGTTCATACGAGCGCGCAAAAGCGTGCACACATGTGTGCACATCAGCTCACGTTGTACATCTATTCTCTGCTCCACGGGCGGAGGGTTACAGGCCTTAAATGTCCGTTTGTATTTATAGAATCCCGACATGCACTTCGGGGAACCTCTCCTTTCGCCGATCTCGACGACGATATACGCCCCTGATGTCGCGCATTCTCTCTTATGTTAGTCAGACTTGTCTCTCTCCGCGATGCAAGAGTTTGTTCTATGAACAAATCAAAAGCCGCGCGCTCCAATGTTCTTTCAGACTCTTATTCCCTTTTATATATCGCTCCTTAGATCATCATTAGTCATGGCAGATAACAGAAATAAATAGAGGGCTGTGCTCGCGAAAAAGCAATAAAATCTAGTTTTACTTCTTCTGCGCGTATATAGAGATATATATGTATCTATATAGATTTTATAAGCACTCTCAAAAAATTGTCGAAAATGTACGTTCACTTTTTTTATTTATTTGATCGAAAATTTCGTCGTTTGTGAAATTATTTCGCAAATGATATTTTAAATTGAATATACATAACGTATTCCTATTCTGTATTCAAATGTATGATATTGTAATCCTATATAGACATGATATAT